GACGCCATGGAGGAGTTCCACTTGATACATTGTTCCTCATGACTGCTGCACCTACTTTCTTATAGTACCCAGGACCAAAAGCCAGGAATGGCACAGGGAACTGGTCCCTCTCACATCAATTTTCAATCAAGAAAATATATCACATGCTTGACCAGTCTGGGGGCATTTTCTCAATTGAGATTCTTTTTTTAAAGGGACTCTAGCTTATGGTGTGTTGACCTGAAACTAACTAGCACAGAATATATGTCAGTTGTGAGCCCTATATACTACAATCATACTAGCATGTATGTATGTAAACTCCCACATATCTAGTAAAATTCCTCAATTTAGTGTTATCTTGACCATAGCTCTTTTATTTGTATGTGGGATGATATTAGTTTTTTATTCTTTCTTAGACTCTCAACTCTGCATTGTTTCTCTGATACTATTTACCCTTCCATGACTAACCTTGTTGACTTGATTAGCTTTAGAGACACCTACACATCTATCGAATCTATGAGGGGTTTCCCTGGGGAGATTAATTTGGGCATGTGGGTTTCCTGAATGTGAGTGAAACCACTCCATAGATTGGAGGTCTGGAAAAAAATCAAAGCAAAAGAAAAAAGACCCCTGCAAGCTCAGGCACTGTCTCTGCTGCGTGGCCACCATGATGTTGTAACGTGCATTCTTCCAGTCAGCCTGGTCCCAGAGCTGCGTCAGTCCCAAAGGAACAGGCAGGACACTATATTAATCATGAAGCTGTTGGGCGTTTTCTATGGTTTCTTAATGGCTACCTCTGACTTAATTATTAACCCATAATTACTACTATATATTTTTATAAGGACTTATCTTTCCAAGGATGCCATCCTGATGTATCCACTCCTCCTGGGATCACATGGTGACTCTCCAATCTTAACTACATTTTCCAGAATCCTCCTCTACTCCTAGTCCCACCTATCTGCTTCCCTACTGGCCAACAGTACTTTCTTTATCAACCAATCAGATAAACATATATACACAGAAGGACTTCCCCCATCATGATGTGAGGAACTCAACTCCGCCATGCCCTCCCCCTGTGATGGACCAAAACATCTGCAGCCATAAACTAAAGTAAATCTTTCTAAGTTTCTACCCTCAGATTATTTGTTAAAGTGACAACAACTGACTAACACACCCCTGCAACCTAACTCTGTCATCATCACAGTTAGATTAATAATGACTTGTTTCTCTGTTAAATCAGACAATAAAGCAAAACCGTCAAATCCACTGTTAACTAAACAACATGGCATGGTTTAAGAACAATGGCTTTGTGGCAGATTTGGAACTATCTTTCTGGACACTTCTCTTCCAGTTCAGAATCACACACTGAAGTCAGTTTCTCTGACATTATACATGTCTTTTTATTCTTTCCTTTCTATTCATTAGATTCTCAGCTCTGAGTTGCTTCTCTGATATTATTTGCCAATGCATGACTGACCTTGTCAGCTTGATTGACTTTAGCAACACCTAAGAGATTATTAAAGTACACTTCTATTTCTATCTGTGAGAACATTTCCAAGGAGGATTAGTTTACACATGGGGTTTCCTGAATGTGAGTCCACCCCATAGGCTAGGGGTCTAAATAAAATCAAGGCCCCACTGTACTTTGAATGCTGCCATCATCTAGTTTCTCAAGAAGCTGAGTTTCAAAGACATGGGAGCTGGGTGCCCTCATGGTTGTTGCAGTGGCCTTGTGCCTGTCCAGACCACTACAGGTCAGGGCTCGGCAACACACACTCACATTGACATTTTGTTCTCATACTAGAAAGTCACCTCTCACCTTGGGACCCGCCACCTCTTTCTCACCCAGATTCCAAATATTAACTTCCTACCCTGGCAGCAAGAGCTTAGCTTCTCCACCCTCAAGACACTGAACCATGTGAGCATTCTACCCTGTGTGACTAGTCTTCCATCAGTCCTTCTGTCCCCTGCTGGAGTCTGGCACCCTTGCTAGGTCACTGCTTGTGTGCATTTTCTCCTCACCTTCCATGGAACAGGACACATGCACATCCCCCCTACACAGAGAAATACTGCTCTAACAAGAATCCCAGTCTCATGAATGTATTTAAAGCTCTATAGCATCAGTTACCTCCTGTCATGTTGCAGTGGAATGAATATTAGTCCAGTGAAACATGTGTTCACTCAAAACTGTAGGGTATGATACTGTTTTAAATAGGGTCTTTGCTGACGCAAGTATTGATGATACCGGATGAGGGAGGTCCCTCAGTACAATGACACATTTCCTTGTAAGAATCAGAAAAAGAAACAACACAAAGCAAGCACGGTATAAAAACATAGGCAGAGACAGAGTGCTATGTCTCTAAGCCAAAGAACATCAACTGCTGACACATACTAGGGACCAGAGGAAAGATGTAGTCATTTCTCTGTCACTGGCTCCCAAAGCAACCGACCTTGTCCATGTGTTGATTCTGGCTTCCAGAACTGTCAAAAATATATTCTGTTCAGTTAAGAGGCTTAATTTGGTAGAAGGTGGTATAGAAACCTAAGAAATCAGTTTGGTGTCAGTGCTCCATCTTAGGTATATTTTTTTTCTTAATTTTTTTTTCATTTTTTTGTTTAACTTTTTATACATATCACTCTCTGTTCCCTCTCCCTCCCCTCCTCCCCCACCCCTAAGCCCTCACCCCCACTCCACCCCTCCTCTGCTCCCCAGGGAGGGCAAGGGCTTCCATGAGGGATTTTCAGAGTCTGTCACATCATCCTGGGCAGGGCCTTGGTTCTTCCCCATGTGTCCAGGCTGAGAGAGCATCCCTCCACGTGGAATGAGTTCCCAGAGTCCATCTGTATGCCAGAAATAAATATTGCTCTATTCTCCAAAGTCCCACAGATTGCCAAGAACTCCTCTCTGACAACCAGGTTCGATGGTGGTGGTGGTGGGGTGTCTGGATCAGTCCCATGCTGGCCCCTCAGTCATCAGTCTGGGATGTCCATGTGTTCCCCCTTGTTTGGTCAGCTGCCTCTGTGGATTTCACCAGTCTGGTCTTGATTCCTTTGGTCATCACTTCTCTTAGCAACTGGGTTCCAGGAGTTCAATTCGGTTCCCACCTGTGGGTGTCTGCCTCTGCCTCCATCAGCCATGTTTGTTGTTTTTTTGAGACAGAGTTTCTCTGTGTAGCTTTGGAAACTATCCTGGTACTTGCTCTGTAGACCAGGCTCGCCTTGAACTCACAGAGATCCGCATGCCTCTGCCTCCTGAGTGCTGAGATTAAAGGTGTGCTTTAGGAGTCCATAACTGAACTCCCCTTTCACCCAGCTTGAACTGGAAAGCCCCGGGCTGGACCATCTTCATTGTGTGAGCACGTCTTCCAGCATCCAGGCTCAGCCTTTGCTAGCCTGGCTTCTTCTCAGAATATCTCTAACTCTGAGCTCTGCAGAACTCCACCCCTTCACCCTGATGCATATACCTGTCTTGCATTTCTCTGGTTAAGGACTATATTTGAGAGTTACAAGACAAATTCCACAACATGCTATTAATGTAAATTCATTCTGACCATGAAGAGTTAATGTGGCTTTATATTTTTACCTTTCTTACAAGGCAAAACCACAATGCTTTCTTAGATAAAAACAAACCAAGGGTGTCAAATTCATCCTATTTCCTGATGTGAGGAAAATACATATAGTGTTCTTGGCAGTAAAAGATAGAAATTCTCTTTAAAATCTGTTTTCTTTCTTATTTTCAATATAGTAGCTTTTGGCTTTTCATTTGATCTAAGTAAATATGACATTTTAAAACAATGAGCTGACTGGGTTCCATGTACTGACCAGAGGAGAGTTCTTGAGGGAGAAGAACTTTATCAGGAAAAAGGGAGCGTTAGATTGAAGCTCAGGGATACAGTGGTTGCCTAGAATGCCTGAGACCCCGGGAGCCACTCCCCAAACTGAAAAAGACAGGCTTCAACAGTGTTGATATCTTGGACTCCTGGGAGTTTGCTGGCACATTCAGAAGAGACTAAGAAACTATTCCAACAGGATACAGCACAGGGCTGTCAGAGAGTCATAAACAAAACATGCTTATCACAGGGAGATCTTAGGTTTAGTTATGACCTCTCACATGAAGTCCTTAATTAAAGTGCCCTACAAGTTGAGGTTATTAAAAGGCCATGCCGAAAGCCCTGGGAGGAAGGGAGAAGAAGAAACACAAAGATCATTCTTGTCTCATTTAGTTCTTACAACAGAATAGTTTAGGAAAGCATTGAGCTTTAGCTGAAATACAGAGAAAACAACATTAAATGAACTTCCTAAAGTTTATTTGTGAAATGTTGTGTGTTTTTCTTTACATGTCTGGTGACAGGAGTTTCTTCAGGTAAACCACCCTGGAATCCAGAGGACAGCGGAGCTATTGGCCTCCTCAGTTATATAGCCTTGAACTGCCCAGGATAGTTTATTACACATTTGCTGCTTTCAGCTTCCCCGGATTGTTTAACAATGTGTGCTGCTGAGACATAAAAGACAGGGCAGAAACCTGAGGCCACAGCCTTGAGCTCCAGACCAAGCTCTGCCTTACAGTCTTGACAGCCCTTGAATGCTTGGCATGCACTTCGAAAGCTAGCAGACTGTGCCACAACCAGGACAAAGAAAACACAAGTCTTCGTGAGGCAAAAATGTGATATATAAAATGTGTGTGCACACATATTTATTTATTTTTATTGATACTTATATAAATGAGAGAGATTTCCTGTGTCTCTCTGGCAACTGTTATTTGGGGTTAGTAGTTATTAACACACGTGGACTACACACCTCACTAGGGAGGAAGCTCACCAGCATAACACCACTTTCTATTATTGTGCGGCACAAAAACTATTTATGGCACAGAGCACACAACAGCTCTCTGTCTGGACTCACTAAAAAAACTCCAGTTTATAGTGCTAAAAGAAAGCTTAAGCTACAGCAGTCAGTATAATCATTCCTCAAGTAGACCTGTTCCTTTATCATCCAAAAGAAGAGACAAAATGAGCGTCAGGTACTTTTCTGTGTTTGCATTCTGTTTAATATCATGGGAGTGAGAATGACAGCGAAGTTTCAGAATCTTTAATGTTGCCTGCAGGGTTTTGACAATCCTGACTTCGGCCTGTGGAACAAATTATAATAAAAACATGAATGTGTGGTCTTCCATCAACCAGAAGGTTTTTTTTTCCCCTAGCAATTTTGAGCTTTCTTAATGTGGTCAAAATTGATATTTATGATTTATGGCTGGTTGTAAGATTATATTGTGCATTCTCAAACAAAGGTTTACATTTTGACAGAAAATTTTGTTATCTATTACTATGCCTTGGTGCTTTAAAATCCAGGCAATCCACACTTATTATACAGTACATTATAAACATAGCATTTTAATATGATATAACATATTACGCCACTGCAAATATATATTACAAATACGTTTCATAGTATGTAGACAAGTGCTTTGTAGGATGTATTTTTAGTAATAATATAATTTAAATGTGACATGGATGAGTTATCAGTACATGAATCACAGCAGTTGCATCTGTATGCAGGCAGCGTGAAAGGCTTGGGAGGACAGACTAGAAGGCTTTCATCTTTGGGATTTGTTTTCAGACAGTAATGCTTGCAGGTCTAGCATGAAGTATCTTGGGAATAAGAATCAAGTCTATGTACACAACTCACATTTCATATATACATGACCTGAAAGTAATTTTATACAACTTTTTTTATTGACATCAGTGGATCCAAAGTTTCTATTTCCTCTTTGAATAATTTTGACATCTGGTCTTTTCATCAGCTTTTACATTTCATCTTGCTCATCAAATCTATTGACATACAATTTCCATAGTCTCTTATCCTTGGCCATTGGTAGGCTATGTAGTGGTGCTTCTCACTAACATGTAGATGTTGGGGCAATGCTGAATTGCCCATGAAACATTGGTATCTGCTACAGAGAATTTTCTGACCCACATGTTAACAGCACTAAAAATGAGATGAGTGAGTTCTTGAAAATTGATTTCAATTCTTTTCTTCACTGTAAATTGGTAGCCTACTGTATCACCTCTGGATTGCCTGCAAGAATTCTGGGTCAGTTCCTTGGAATGAAAAGATCTCTCTCTCTCTCTCTCTCTCTCTCTCTCTCTCTCTCTCTCTCTCTCTCTCTCTCTCTCTCTCTCTCTCTCTCTGTGTGTGTGTGTGTGTGTGTGTGTGCAAAGCTAACAGCTTCCAGAAGAGACTCATGCAGGATCAATCTTAAGAGTGACTTCAGAGTATCCTGACTTCTGCTGCTCACCACATTCCATCAGTATCCTCATTCACAATCGTAATGGTATCTATGAGGCTCCTGGGACACAGTGACAGCTTCCACATGAAAAATGATAACAGATTATTATAGGGGAGCATTGTCCAATAGAAATGGAATATAAGGCATGTGTATTATTTTAAAGTATCTAGAAGCCACATTTTAAAGCAAAAGCAAAAAGGAGTTGACTCAGTTGATAGAGTACTTATCCAGCACTCATGAAGCCCTGGATTCAAGCCTCAACAAATGCAGACACACTTAATCTCAGCACTCAGGTGGCAAAGGTAAGAAGAGGATCAGAAATTCAAAGTTATCATTAGCTACATAGTGAGAGCAAGGCCAGTCTGGGCTATATGAGACTGTCTTAAAAGGAAACAAAATAAATAGCAGTTGTAAAAATTGTAAACTTTAATACATCAAAAATACTAGTATTATACCATTCATCACTTTTAATGCCATCATCAATATTTACCTTGATGAGCTATACTAGTTCACGTTTCCTTTATCATGGTAAGTTGGTAGACTCTGTAGTGAATTGTATCCTTACAGAACATCTCCATTTGTACAGCCATGTTCCCAGCACACAGTGACCAATAGCTAGTGCCAATACGTTTCCAGCCACGATATTCAGTAGCCTCAATTGGACAAATGGCTAAAATATTAGACAACATGTAGTCCAAATTTCTGTTCTTTTTTGCTGCATATTTAAATTTTTACTTTCATCCAAATCCCCCAGTATAAATACTGGTTCAAAGTAAGTATATCTAATATGATATTCCAGAAACAAAAGCATGGAGAAATCTGGTAGATTTCAAGACTTGGAACTCTTCTTCCTCTTACCTTTACTATGGAAAATGTCTCCAGAGTAACAGTTCTTCATGACATAACTTCATCTGTGATGTCATTAGTCTGCCTGGAAACTCTTCCTAAGTTCATGACACACTTTAAGCCATGACTGAGTAAAGAGAGACTTTGGTTACAGCTGAAAAATATAGAATCTCCAAAAATATAGGATATCATGTTCATTGCCACTCTATTCACAATATCAAGGAAAAGGAAACAACCTAAATGTTCTTTAGCTGATGTATGAATAACCAAAATATCATACATATACAAAATGGAATATTATTTAGCTGTTAAAAATGAAATCACTACATTTGCAGGTAAATGGATGGACCTGGAAAACAGTGTACTGAGTGAGGTAACTCAGCCCCAGAAAAACAAATGTTGCATATTGTCTCTCATTTGTCATCCCTAGTTCCAAATTCTCAGATGTGAGTAGCTGCAGAGACTAGGAAAGTAAAAAGGGACCGTGGAAGTATGAAAGGAGCTCTAGAGAGGGGGATTTTCAGGGTACAGGTGAAGAGGGAAAGGGAAAGAGCAGGGTGGGTTTTTAATGGGGGAAAGAAGAGGGACAACACAGAAGGAGAGTGAGGGAGGAATCATAAATAACACTAAATATGTTTGAATAGGCCATAAAGAATCATAGTATTTTATATTTACCTAACATGTAATACATATAATCTATCAATAGCCATCCTAACAAACCCCAGTACCATGTATGAGAAACCTTTCGAGTTTCATGTGAGGAATCAAAGAAACTCCAAAGAACTGTAGCCAACAGAGGAAGAGAATGGGAAAGGTAGTCTTCCACAGGGAAGAACATACCAGGTGGTTGTCCATGTGCTCTGCGTATGTGTGGAATGGCTTGAAAGCAATGCAATGTGGACATTTAAAGACAGAGTCTCTCTATTAGTCATTAGTGCTCAGATGAAATTTAAAATACAGGAAGAAAGGAAGAAAAAGAAAGGAAGGAAGGAAGGAGAGGAAAGAAAGAAGGAAGGAAGAGAAAAAGAAAAGGAAAGAAGGAAATGAAAGAAGAAAAAAGAAAGAGGGAAAGACAAATGTAGACACAGATAACATCAATTCTGGACCTTTGCTTTCACAACTGACCTATATTGAGAAAATACTAATCATCTTTAAAGTTTTTTCTATTTTTGAAATTATAATATAACTACATTTATCCCTTCCCTTTTCTTCCTCCAAAACCTCCCAAATATCCCTCCATACACTACTTCAAATCTGTGGCCTCTTTATATGCTGTTGTCCCATGCTTATATGTACTCCTAAATATAACCTGTTTGGTCCACATGAGTTTACTTGTATGTATGTTCTCAGGGCACTGGGCACCCAATTGATGCACTCTGCCTGAGGAAGCCCACTTCTCCTCTTCCCAGCTTTCTGAGTTGGCTATAGTTCTTTATGCAGTGTTGAGAACTCATGGGCTTTTCTCTGTGCGGTTTGGCATGTCCACAAATACACATATACAGTTTTAATGAACTTTTCTCATCTTGCTGATGGGACTCTCTCCAAGAGCCACAGAACAACTAACGAAACCACGATCTCAGACCTGGGAAGCCTTCAATTGTTGGCCAGGGCTGTAGAAGAAACTGACAAAATAGATAGCCTATTGTGGTTGCCCTTGGTTAGCTCCAAGAGGTGGAAGGTCAGTTTCTATGAGGACACCATGCACTTCAGACACAGGGCCCAGAATGTATGAGTTAAAACTGACCTAAATGTCCCTCCACAAGGACTAGCTTTTATGCTGCCAGAAGCCACTATGCGAGCTTCAAAGGAGAAGGACCACCAACGGTCATACCCAGCTATGATGCCTATGAAAATACTAATTTTAAGGGTCTTACCACTGTGGACAGATATAAGTAAATGGGGTTGGTTCACAGCAAGTCAAGCTCCCAGTGTTAAACCCTGATTTTAAAATAAGCAATGCTATGAAGGCACAGTGCTGCCACACCTACCTGTCTGTACTTGAGAGAATTCCAAAGGGATGGATGCCTGGAAACACAGAGGGCCCTGCTTGCCTCAGTGAGTACTCAAAACTAGGCAGGACCGCCAACCTCCAGCCCTAAATCCTAACCTGGTGGAACACAGACTAAGAGAAGACATACTCTCTCCAAACTGTTTACTCTCTCTCATTTGAATTGGCTTCAAATTACCAATATTTCGCTATGTGCCTCCTCCGATTTAAATTTGCATCTGTTATAAAAAAAACAAATAAATGAAAACAGTTTCCACACCTCCTTAAGAGTCCATTGACTAATCAAGATTGATGATCGCTAAACACCATGCCCAATATTTCTGTGTTTTCTGTTGAAATGAGTTGACATGCAGAGCTCTGTGGAATGTTCTTCCAATAACCAAGTGTAAAAGGAGTCCTTAAAATGAAAACATTACAAATCCTTCATATCTGTTGCTCTGAGTACACAGTAACTTTCAAGGTGCCAGCAGTCATTCTTACAAAACAATACAGGCATTCTTCATGCTTGTAACTGGACCCAGAAAATAAGAGGCCTGTGCTATGAACTTCAATGACTATGGCCTGGAAAATCAGATGAAACAAGGACTCCTGGTAACAGAACAAGGACAAAAACACAGGAATCTATAGCAGTTAGAGGAGGAAAAACATGCTAAGCCCAATGTCATCTACCTGGTACTTACTATGTGTCTTTTATAGTATGGATGAATAGCTTAGATAATAAGAGGGGTAGGCAGAGTCCAATACCATGGCATCAAATAGATTTGAAAAGAAAATGAAGGAAATGGATCATTTCTAAAAGGCTCTAGCTAAATGCCCATTTTTACGTATCGGCTTCTTTCAAAAATATTCAATCACACCTAGCAATTGGCAGTGAGTACAAAGAGGCTTTGACTGGCATGCTGTTCCATTCACTTCCCTGGGGTTGGTGGCCATTTGTAGCCACTGGCAATAGCAAGGAAAAAGCCCCAGGGAGACCCGAGACATTCAGCCGCACCCCACCCCTCCTGCTGCCACACCTCTGCTCTGAATGCACTAAGCATTGCTGGGAAGAAAAGGCCCTAAAAAGCATCAAAGCAACATTTTTCTAACATTTCTATTAGACAACCAAAGGATTTCTTTTTATTAAGAAAAGATATAAAGACAAACTAAACTATCATGTATCAAATTCAACTGATATTTCCAGAACATTTTTCATTTATTAAGCTTCTCAATCAAGAACATCTCACTCGGAATATGCCACACCTTTCATGATTATATTCCCCTGAAACAATAATGATTATTCTTGCTTTTAAAACAATACCTGTTTTTGTTACTTTTTAAAAATCTGTTTTCTTCTTTCATCTCCCATGCAGCTCTCTTATCTAAATAAAAATGTAGAAGGAGTGGTTTTTGATCGCTGGAAAAGGCAAAGAAATATATGTATTTTTAGCTTAACTGATTCTGTGACTAAGGATAAGCCCCTGTCTCTTTAAGTCATTTCCCATGACTGCTGGAATAGATTCAATCTCATCATTAATTTATATTCACTATTAATAGTTTAGCGAAAGTCCAAGTGACATGTGTAACATGAATTATTAGGATATACACTGAGAATGGGCAAATTTATGGCAGCCATTAATTTCACAACTATTTGGGCACTAGGAACACACACATGGCTTCATTGGGTATTGAAGAAAGACACAATTTTGCAGCCTGGGGTATGTATTGTCACACAGAGGTGAATGACATTTTAGCAGGAGTTCTGTGTTCTAGGACAATCTAAGTCACCTTTGTGTGCTGAAAAGGATTCAGAGAAAGCAGAGTCTTTAAGAAGTCACCAGACATCAAATCACAGATGCTGGAAGACCTGTGTTCCCCCAGAGCCACTGGACCAGGACAAGTTTTTTGGAAGTGATAAGTCTTAAGCATAGTTTGAAAATAATTCAGGTATAGCCTTAGGGCAATAGAATGGGTGGCCCTCTTTTTTGTTTCCATCTGCCTTTGGCCTTACAAACAGACAGAAAAAAAAAGCTGTGTGTCTAGAGAATTCTTCAAAGAGAATTAACTAAAATCCAAGAGTCAACTTTTAAAACTTCAGAGGGAATAAGCACACAATCCTTCCCAGTATAGTGGTCACCTCTATATTTACCTTTAGTGTTGCCCAGCTGGTGAGTTCAATGAGAGATCTTGTGTCAGCAAAATTAAGTGGAGAACAATAGAGCAGGACACCTAACATCAACCTCTGGCCTCCACATACACATGTGCATACGTCACCCACATACAGCAGCACACACAGAGAAATCACATTTTGTGTAATTTCTATTACAATTCAATTACCATATCTTATCAGGAGTCTTACTATGACAGATTTCTAAATGAAGCTTTAGTACATGTATATACCAAAATTGTAGGGGAAATTGCATTGCAGATCACCCACTGCATAGCCTGCCATTTTGGGCATCAATGGGGTCTTTAAATCATACCGCCAGGGATAAGGGCAACTAGTTCAATACAGCATTTACACTAATGAAACAGTAGTACAGGCCAGCACGATGCTGTGACTATGCTGTGGTCATTTGCTGCTGCTTATTTTATTTCTCACTGTGTGTATATGCGTGTCTGTGTGTGGATATGTGCACATTCAAAGCAGATGCCCATTGTGTCCAGAAGGAGGCTGTCAGGTCTGCTGAGCTGGAACTACAGGCAGCGATGCTCTGTCCTAAGGGGTGCTAAGAGCTGTCTGTCCTACGGGGGTGCTAGGAACTGAGTTCATGTCCTCTACAAAAGCAGCTCGCCCTCTAAACCACTGAGTCATCCATCTCTCCACACGGCTGTGGGGCCATTCTTCGTCATGTTTTGGATTTCCTGTTAGTTCTTCAAATAGAATATGAACTCACTCTTCACCCCTGGCAACCAACACCAGAATGGCAGTTTTGCAAGGTTAAAAAAAATCTGTTTCTTTGCATCTTGAACAATATCATCTTAAGGAAGAGTAGTCAGGTTTACTTTAATCCTCAAGTTTCAAAATAAATTGTTCCACCTCATTCCCATCATCACAGAGAATCAACACCTGCTTGGCCGGCAATGAGTTCACATTATAAATCATATTGATCTTTCTTCTTTTCTTAATTTTTGTGAACTTTTCAAATCTTCACCCCCCCTTTTAAAATATTTTGAGGAGTATTTCTACCACGCCTATGTCATATCTTCAAGATACTATAGGTAAGAATATACTTGTGTCTATAGTGCATAGGCTAAATCTGCCCCATCGCCAGTTTCTGTAAATAAAGTTTTATTGAAAGGCAGTCTGGCTCATTCATTCATGTACTGTCTATTGCTGCCTTTTAGCTATATCAAGCAAGTTGAGCAATTACATAGAGATCAGGGAAGCCCACAAAGCCTACTTGAACTTTCATTGCTAAGTATGTCCACAAATAGCCAACTGCATTAGGAATCTATGAAATTTTCCTTCTAAATAACCATTAATTTACTCATTTTTAAGCAACTGGCTAACCATTAATTTTCTCATTCATTCATCCATCCATGAATCAACCAATTTCTCTGCACCTAGCACATGCACATAATAGGTTGGGAAATTTGGGAGAAAGAGGCTGACAGAAGAGAAGGCAAGAAAAGGAAGACAGGACAGTATCGGGCTAAGGGTCTCAGCTGGCACACAATTTGGGCACTTAAGATTGTTGAAACACTACTAGCTGTTCAAACAATGGTGCTGAAAAGTCTCTGCACTAGAGTATGCTAACATGACTTCACAAAGACACAGCCTCACTGCTACAATAAGATCAAGTGTTGGGATGGTTTGAAAGAGCTGTAGCTTACTGGTGAGATAAAAAGAGCCCAACACCTCCAAGCACTAGGTAGTAAAGCCACCAGTCCTTTCACCAAGCTTCAGGGATTAGGTGACATCAAAGTTTGGACAGAATATTTGAGGGAGATATTTTACTTGGCATCTAACTGGGCTTGGTGACCCCAACAACTACCTACCGGATTACCCCCAACGTTCACTGTTCTATGTTGGGCCATAGAACTGGAAAAGCCAGCTTCATGTGCGAGCAGAAAAGAAATGCTCACCTAATAAATAATCAATGCAATGAGTGAGTGTGCTTGTTCCCTTGGCTGCCTAATCAATGGCAGTGGATGAAGGGAATACTATTGACACACACTAAGTGAATGTCTAGAGTTAAGTTTAACTGAAGTTAAGTAAGCATAAATTACATTTAAAAGTATGCTCTCTTTATTTTTGTTGGCACTGAATGTTGCCTCTCTAGTAACGGTTGCAAACCAAAGTAAGAAGAAAACTTTTTAACAACCTAAACGTCCAAGAAAGATTATATTGAACAATTCAATGTAGCCAATTTGTCTTCATTAAACAACAAACATTCACTGTGACTACATACCTGGACACAGGCTATAAGCTTTACAAATTAGAGATCTGTGCATTGAAGATGTTAATGTAAAATATGTCCTTACTTTAGTGGCTTTAAAATTGATGTTTTATTTCTATATCCTTGCGCTTAAATATTTAAATACTTTTATATTGACTTAAGCAAAGTGAATATGGCAGAAGAAAGGGCAAAAAGTTCATTTATGAAAATAATTTTGTAAGAAAAGATTGCATCATTTCGGAAGTAATAGAACACAAGGATATTTTATATTCAGCAAAAGTAAATTGACCTTTTATTCAACTATGAAGGATTGTTGTGTGGTTGGAGCTCCTTATGATTAATGCTATTGTGGGGAATCTCCTAGCTAGTGAGGGCACAATTCATCCCTCCATCAGGCAACATTCTCTCCTTCAGCTTGTTAAGCTGTATTTAGATGCTAAAATGGAAACAACACTCAATGGATTTTTTTTTAAAGAGGACAATCAGTGGCTTTCTTGATTAGATACCACTGAATTATTTTTGGCTTGTTTTCACTATAGTGTCTGTATCTACATAGTTGTGAATACCAAAAAAAAAACCTAAAAGAAAAAAGAAAATCCACAACTAAATATTCTCTTGCCTCTTTACACATGGCCAAGAAATTCAGTGGGACACTCTGACCACAGTTCTCTTTTCTCCTCTCCAGCACTTATGTAGCTCAGCTCCTTGTTTACTTGTGAACTCATAGTACTTCCTTACAAAAATTAATTTCAAATAAAAATGTCAGGATAATGACTATTTTCAGCACAAACACCACAGATAACATATAATTAAAAGAGAAAAACTCCAAGTATTCTTGAATACACATTGGTTTAATTTTTGTCTTGATGGGCTTGCAGATTATCTTAAAATGGTCTATTAAAACCCCTCTCTTGTAAAGATCTATTAAAAGTGCAGACACTTGGGGATGCTGGGGAGGGGGAAATGGGTCAAGTTGTAAAACTGATTATGTGAGCTCTCTCTACACGCAGTGCCTATGTCAGCAACATGGAAAAACAGTCTCGAGACTGTTTTCTGCAGCTACCCTTTCTCCGGCAGAAAAAAAAAGAAAGCAAAAAAATGAAACAAACAAACAAAAAAACCCAGTGCATTTTGTATACTGGGAAACAAAAGGGTGGGTGGAGTTAAATTCTATGCCTGAGCATAAACATCAGACTAGGCTTTTCAAAATACAAAAATAGACCAGAAAGAGATATTTTTATAATCAAAAAGTAATATATATATTTTTTTCTTGTCTAAATCTGGAATCTTGTCTATCTTATTTTAAACAAGCCAGCAATTGCAAGTTTCAATCTGTTTGGATAGAAAAGAATTTATGTAAATGTTTTGTTCAAGCCCAAAAGGGAAAGGGAGGATAAAATATACAGTGTATGGAAGATGCTTGCCCAACTGCAAGACAGCTTGTTACACAGGGGACAAGAAAAGAAGCATCAGCCTTTCTGTGAGGCACACCCAGCAGCCCTCAAGCTTGACTATCTTGCTATTTGCAACATGGTTTCAAAGATCCCTGCAGTAAGAAATTAACCAAAATTTCATAACTGATCTGCTCTCCTCCCCTCCTGGCTCTGGGGGGTGAAGGACAAGAGGGAGAGACGGAGAAGGTCAAAGAACAAATAGAAACAAAAATCTCTATTCCTGCACTTTTTCTCTGCACTTGAGAAAAGAAAAAGAAAAAAAAAAACTGAGGCAGATCAATCTGTACAATGCTAAACCAAATCTCTTTAATTCCAGTCAGCTTTTATCATTCAGTCGCTGAGTCTGTGTGTGGAAAAATTCATGCTAATTCCCCCTAGCAACAGCCTCAGCCTATCAGGAGACTTTATGTACCGTGCAGTTGCCTGCCAGAATAACTCTAAGTAGGTCAGGCCTGTATTTCTAAAAATGCTACGGTCTAGTAACCCCACTGTCCCGTCTGTCTGCCCTGCCCCATAATAACCTCAATTGCTTGGTGACACAATGACATACTATCCTGTTAGAGTGCAATCACATCATGCTACATTATTCTGCACGAGCATGGCTGGGTGAAGGACCCTCCGAGGGGCAGCATTAATCAGACAGCCATTCATGTCCACCAGCATTTCACTCTAGAAATGGGGACTGCATTAATGACCAGCTGTTTGAACTAACACAAACAAAATAATGTCTTCCACCCTGTTGGGTGCACAGAATACAGCATTCTGATCTGGCAGGTTCCACTCCTTGACTAAATCAAAGATGTAAATTAACGGGGCTCAGACAACATAGGCTTTGGCAACCTTAAAGTGAGTATATTTAAATTATATTACATGTGATTCAAAAAGCTATTGATTTAATATACATGGTTCTCCTTGCCTACAATTTTCCCTAACCCACATTTTAAACGGGAAAGTGCATACAAGGGTAACATAATACATATGTGCATATTGCCCAGAGACCCAATTGCAGAGGCTGAACTAAAATTGACTTCACTTCGGGCAGAGAAACAAAGCCGGTCAGGAGTAATTGTGCAGCATGAACACAAATACAAATACTAAATGCATGCTGCAGAGGAGCACTGAAAACAAATAAGAGTAAACACCCCGAGCCTGTCAACCAATCAGCTCCTCCCAGCGGCTCTCTGTGGAGGCTGGAGCCAGCGGCAGCACCTCCAGACAGCAGAGACAAGGTGGAGGAGTGAAGGTGCCCTTCCAACTCTCAGTGACTGTGGTATGACACCTCCCCACGGGATCACTAACAAAACGCTGTTTGCCTTCAAGACAACAAACGCTTCTTCAAGATATAAATTAAGGACACCAAAAAACTCAGAGCCCACAGTCAGTTTTTAATTCTCTGGTAGAGATTTTAGAATCTAATGGAGCACAGGTACTTGCGTGCACTTTTGGCTTGCCTCCACTGACATGCGCAAACGCAAACAAAAGTGATGGGTATATACAGAGACCGGAGCCCAGCAGGGCAGTGTGGGGCTGTTTGGGACGGTGTCTTACAGTGACAGGGCTTGCACACTCAATCTGTATGCTTCCAGGTTCACTGTTTTGTGTAATAAACACATTCCCTCTGACGCGCTGATCACTCTGCCAGAAGTTAGGCAGCATCCAGCCAGGGAGAGCCATACTTGATTTTCAAACCGAAAATGCCTTCATGCATCTGCCCTTGCGTGAACTATGCTTGATAACTCAGTTATGACTGTCTTCCGCACGCTGGGGCACACATCACACAGTTATTCTTGGAGAGATAGTCTCTGACGCAACCATGAACCGCTAATTACAAGCTGCTGACATTCTGCTCGTCTCTGCAGCTTTGAAGTTCTGCTTTGTCTTAGGGCTCTCTCAGCCTGCTCCCATCTATACCTTACCCTGTCTTTCTTTTCTCTCTCTCTCCACAGCCTTTCTGAATTCCCTCTAGCACAACCTGGAGAAAGGAGAAGGAATTATCAGACTTGCTTGGTTCTCATTCTCTCCCCTCCACACACTGACTCCTCTCTCTCTCTCTCTCTCTCTCTCTCTCTCTCTCTCTCTCTCTCTCTCTCTCTCTCTCTCTCTCTCTCCTCATAGATCTACAGTTTGGAAGTACAGTAATAAGATCCTGGCTCCTCCCCACCCTCAGGAATGCACCAACAGCTGGCCAAACATAACCCAGTACACAGAGCCGCTTTGTAGAATTCCTAACAAACAGTGGGTGGACAGGCCAGACAGACGTCCCAGAGGAGCCCCCATGACAACTGGGAAAGCAGCTTGCTCCCAGCTCAGAGCTCAGTCCACCCAGCTTACTCTTATCAAGCTACATGCTCCTTCTACCCGCCCAGCCCTGTCAGAGGCTTTGGAGAGGCCACCCGCCTCCTTCAGCAGCAAGCAGGCTGTAAGCTTTCTTCACACTGACATCAGCCATGCTCTGCCTCATGTCACACGCCTCTGGAGACTCGACAACTGCAAACCCCACTCCCCTGATCAGCAGCAGCACCTGTACTTAACCATCTCGCTGTGAGCTGGGAGGACCCTCTTCCTTTAAAAATTTCCTTTATTAAGCAGCATGGATCCTAGCATCGAAAGTATGTAAATCTAGCATCTCCACTGAACGCTTAGCCCCTGCAGCCTGTGGTATCCAGCTGGCCTCAAAGTCATCTGGGATACATTTATTTTGATTAAATCGATCACATTTCTATTTAAGGGACAGCATTTTTTCCGCCATACTGAATACAGCTGTGTTTACAGGGCTCTGTAAGACAAGAAGAAAACAAAACCACACAGTGAGTCTTAGCCCAACGCTGAGCTCTCGGAACTTCAAGGAGTTAAAACTGAAGGGGCTTGCTCTGCCATTAAAAAGAAAAGTCTACACACAGCTGCTCTGGCCAAGCTTTCTGGCTAGCCAGGAAATGGGTGTTGAGCAGGAGCTGAAAATACTGGCTGTAATCAAACCCAACCCAGCAAAGTAACTCTCTCTCTCTCTCTCTCTCTCTCTCTCTCTCTCTCTCTCTCTCTCTCTCTCTCTCTCTCTCTCGGTGTGTATGTGTGTGTGTGTGTGTGTGTGTGTGTGTGTGTGTGTGTGTGTTACATACACTCTTCCATGTCTCTACACGCATGCACATGCACTTAAATCCATGCTGAAAGGCTGCAATTTTCTCTGGGGACACTGTGTAGTCAGTCGCCCAGCCCATCAGTTTCTTCCTTGACAGTACCAGGGACATCCATGCTGCAATTTATAGTTGCTCCATGCATGTGCTGGCATATACATGATGCCAACCTCCCTTAGACTAAGACTGCAGAGCCGGCAGCCGACACTCTCCCGACACAGCATCTCCTCTTCTTTTCCCTCTGCCTCTCTCCAGCTCTGCCCTGCCAGGCAGACACAGCGGGTACCTGCTTCATCCTTCTTCAGTTCGGCTTTCTGGGAAAATGCCACCACGTCCAGGCCTGGGTTGTACCCTCAGACTAATCCCAGGAGCAGCCAGAGCTGGGTACACGAGGCAGGGGGCTCCGGCTGCCCTCGCCCTGTATGCATAGCATCGGTGGGCATTGATGTATAGTATTCCTAAATTCCCCTTCCCGGTCTTTTGCGTGCCCTTAGCATCCCATCCCAGTCTTCTGCAACTGTCTTCCAAGGCCCCCATCCAGCTGTGAGGAGACCCTGGCCAGAGCTTGTATCAGGTCCTTCTTCTGCAGGGCACGTACAGGCGATTCCGTGGTTCTGGGTGTATGGTGGGCCGTCTCAGGCGGGAGTCAGCAGGAACCACGCAGGTGAGGCAGGCGAAGCCTGGTGTGCCCACAGTGATGCAGCCCTGGAGCTGTGAAGAAGATGGTCTGGCTTCAGAATTTCAAAAAAAGAAAATGAAAAAAAGAAAAAAGAAAGAAAGAAAACAGCGCAGCTCGGCGCCTGTGGGGATGAAAAAAAAAATAGACACAACCAGAAGAAGCAATAGTTAAAATCAAATTTCAAAACAAAAATAGGAAAACAGAGATCAGCATACTTGATGCGACTTTTATTTCTGACGTTTTCTTGGTTTATTGGCCTCCCCACCCCCTCCAAAAACTCCCCAGTCCCTGAACGCCCGTCTGTCCACGAGTGCCGAGTCTCAAATGCGGTTGCTCCACAGTGCCGCAGACCTACATCACATGAGGAAGCACATGACGAGCCGGAGTCGGCTGCTGCTGTGGTCAACTGTTCCGCCGAGGCAGAAGGGGGGTAGGAGGCAGTGCCCCTCTCACGCTGCCAGGAAGAAATTTCCTTAAAAGAACAATGGGAGGGCGGCATCTCAGAAGAAATGCTTGAGCAATGTGGACTTTTCCATATGCACACTGATGGAGAGGGACCGTGGGCACTTGAAGGCAAGCCGAGGATGCTGTACCGCAGACACAAGCTGGATGGCAGCAATATTATTTCTTGTGTGTGCTCGTCAAGGCTGATTCCGTTGAAGTGGATTCCTGAAAAGCACAGACCATGTCTTCCGAGCATGATCAGGCTTGGAAAACCAATTCTATTATCTCTCCTTGCAATCTGTATCTGAACCTGCATTGTGAATAATTTATTTTTAGACTAATAAGAGGCTTGCCAAGACTGCACCCTTTCTATGGCAAGCGGCGCATGCAGTATTCACCCAAGTGGGAAAACCTTGTCCCTTTGTAGGGAGAAGAGAGGAGACAGTGTTTGTTGTTTAAAAAATAATAAAACAATTGTGATTTCTTATTTAAAGGCATACATACAACAGTAAGGTTCCCTCAAAAGTGGCCATTCAAAACAAGAAAGGCATTTCTGTTTCTTTGAATTGACAAGTCTCTAGTTTGCACATTGGCATCTCACACTGGCATCTCACGCTGGCAAATGGGGTTGATGTTTTTCTAACACCGGACAAAGCCGGTCACTTAGATATTTTTACTTTGCAGCAAAATGGCAAGCAACAACTGCCTCCCAGAAAACCTCTCTGCAGAAGTGCTGAGTGGCTACCACTGTTTCACCAGAGAGGACACATAGGAGAAAGGTGACCCAGGGGCCTGCAGAGTTTGTCACTCATCCCAAAACTAAGCAGGTTGCCTATTTGGACACTCTCATATGCTATTTTAGGAAAAAATATGATCATGCTGACTGATCAGTGTGGGAGAACTGTGAATAAGTGTCTACCTCCTATGTCATTTGACTGGAGTTATCCAGATAAGAGGCTGTCCGTTCCTTGGTGACACGCACATCAGCCTTCCTCTGTATTCCTGTGTAAAGGGCTATCCCAGACCTGAGAATTATGTGGAGCAAAACAGGCACGTCCTCAAGCTGTAGCAAGTGCGCATGCCTTCTTTCTCTCCAAAGACAACCTTCTACCAACCTTGTTACTGCAAAGTCAATCCTTGAAGACCCGGCAGCCATGCTTTCCTCTCCACCACCCTCCATCCCCCCAGCAAGTCTGAGCATCCTTCTTTACAAGTGGCCCCTGCATTTCAGACTCCGCTCAGCTGTCAGTCACATACACCACTTCTACTCTCAGCCTACTCACAAACCATGCGCACTAAACTTCCGTGTTTGTGTCGTTCAAAACCACTGTCTACATGCTCAGGACACCTCTTTGCCCTTCACCAAGGATGGCCCTTGTCTTCATATGAATATGATTCTTCATATGCGTATGCTATCAATAAATGGCATTATTTGCTTGTATAACTATTCAAACAAGTTAGTCTTCATTGAGTAACAAAATAATTCTCTTGCTTTGTTAACCACAGTACAACAATGGCATATGAGCATTCTCCTCACCCTCAGGAAATATAAGAGCAGGTTCTGCACCACATTTTCCGTTGGCCCTAAACTTGTATTGCCTTCAATGGCAACTATTCCTGAGTTTTAGTCCTCATGAAAATAATAAATGGCCGCCGGGCATTGGTGGCGCACGCCTTTAATCCCAGCACTTGGGAGGCAGAGGCAGGCGGATCTCTGTGAGTTCGAGGCCAGCCTTGTCTACAAAGTGAGTTCCAGGACAGCCTCCAAAGAGACAGAAACCCTGTCTCGAAAAACCAAAAAAAAAGAAAGAAAGAAAGAAAGAAAGAAAGAAAGAAAGAAAGAAAGAAAGAAAGAAAGAAAGAAAGAAAGAAAGAAAATAATAAATGGCTCTAAATTCGCCTGATACAGCTTTGGGTCAGAGAAGAAGTACTATAGAACAGCTTAAAGGGAGAAGTGCCTTCATGTAAACACTGGAATGGTGCCTCAGGGTCCCAATTTGCAGTGAAATCTGAAAAGCCAGGCCAGAGACTGGGGTGAGTGGCTAAGTATCAACAGCGGCTCTAATAAGTGAATATGAATGCTTGTTACACACCACAGTCTATAGGAACCACTGTGGATCCCTTACCGTACTTGATCTTAGGAATCCTACAAGCAAAACATTTTTCAAATAACTTATTTTAATGAAATCAAAAGAGAAGCAGGTTTAAAGCATAAATACGTCCAAAGGTGACCAGTAAGACAGGCTTTGTGTTAGCAAACTAATTTACAGATGTGGTACTAGACCAAAGAGAGTCATATTCTAAAGCTTTGGGGCCCCTCCCCACTTTAACCTGAAAGAATACAGCCCACCTGTAAGATAAAGAATCTGGGATTCAAGGCCAAGGCTGATGCAAAGGGTGAGGATCACATATATGGAGAGCTTGGCAGCTCCTTTTCTGAGATGTGCCTATGCATGCCACTGCACAAAGCAAGCACTGGGAACATACAAAAGCAGGGTTCGAAAGGTTGATGTGTTTATATTCACTTTATGTTTCAATTTCTCGAAGCTGTCTCTGTCTACGAGGCAAGGAAATGGCCCTGAACCCTGCTGGGGCTAGGAAAGGAGATGAGATGGAGTCTGGAGGCTTTATGAAAAAAGGGCTGCAATCACTAAGACAGCAAAGATGACTTCCCGCTAGAAGAATGCTAGGTACAGTCATCCTTTTATATCTTGAGAGAAGATTTTGCTCCATTGCCCTGGCTAACTTAGCAGTCACTATGTAATCCAGGCTGGACTCAAGCTCACAGTTCTCCTGCTTCAGTCTCCCAAGCTGAAATTACAGATGTGTACCACAAGTCCGGCTCTAGATACACCTTTCAATACCTTGAATGGATTAGATGGTTTTCTGTCAACTTGACACAAGCTACAGTACTGTGGAAAGAGAGAACCTTCACTGAGAAAATGCCCCCATCAGAATGCTCTGTAGACAAGCCTGTGTTGCATTTCCCTAACTACTAATTGATGTGAAAGGGCCCAGCCTATTGTGGAAGGAGTCATCTGGGCAGACAGTCCTGAGTTATACAAGAAAGTAGGCTGAGTAATCCACACGGAGCAAGCTAATAAGCAATGTCCCTTCAGGGCTTCTGCTTCAGTCCCTGCATCCAGGTTCCTGCCTTGAGTTCCTGACCTGACTTCCATCGGTAACGGACAGTGGTGTAGAACATAAACTGAAGTAAACCCTTTCCTCCCAAAATTACAGTCATGGTATTTTTATCACAGCAATAGAAACCCTAAGTAATATGAAAGTGATAAAAAGAAGTAGTGGCTCTACACAGAAGAGTATGAATTTCATATTTCATTGCTATCTGAGTGGCTTTGGTGGGTTGGTTTCCATCATGACATTAAAGCCATAGGGACAGACTCCATGCCCTCTCTCTCTCTCAGTCTACCTTTGGCTCAGTGCTACATGCTTGACCCACAACTGTACACCTCAGCCACTTCTTTCTGTCTGGGCTGATCTTGTTGTGTCCCGCTGTGGCTCCTTCCTAATTGGAATGCTACATTTATCAAGGTGATAGTTGTTCTAACAGATTCACCATTCACACACGAACGTAAAGAGCGGATGTAGAGAGTGAAGGAAAAGTGAAGAGAGTTTATCAGCCTCCTTGAAGAATTTTAGCTAACTGGAATACTAAATTGACAAAGGTATCTTGTTTCTTGAAGGTTAATATGATATACTGCCTCTGGCCCTGGAAGTGGAAAGGGATGTTATTGCCTCAAATTATTGCTGGAGGGGAAAATGTTAATAATCTTTCTCCTCAGCAGTAAAGAGTTGAGCTTTTAATACCCAGATATATTTTAGCAAAAGCATAGTAGGTCACCTTGAAACAAACTTGAAGAGCAATGTGGGATAAGTAGGGCACTGGAAAATCAGAATACATTGCAGGGCAAAATGTTGTTTGAAAATACAGTGAAAGTCAAATTTATGCTCATCCATTTTTTTTGTTTCCACCAGTCCAGGGAAATTCTAATATCTAAATAAACAAACAAGAATACCTGATCTGGAAAAACAAAAACTGACTGAGTAACTAGCTCAAGGTAACTTTTAATTGAGACACACACATGCACGTGCACGCGCACACACACACACACACACACACACACACACACACACACACACACACACTGCTCATGTAGGACAGTGTATTTTACTTACAAGAGGGAGAGAAATGAAGAGGGCCCGTCTAGGCCCTAAAAGCTCTTTTAAGCTTGAGAAGTGCTTCTTTCTCTTTGACAATGAGGAGTGCTTGCATTTAATGGTAATCAAAATTAGACAAAAGGATATATGCTCCTGAAAGAGGCCAACCCGTCTCAGTCACCATGAAGTCCTACCATAAAGAAAAAACAGAGTCTGGCTGATATGAATATTCAGTGGACCATCGTGCTGTGTCATTCAATCCCGGGAAATTCGAATGTAGATCAAGGCAGGCATTTATCTACTAGATGGCTAAAGAACTGAAAAGCTTATGGCTTGTCTTTGAGCCTCCCCAACAAGGGTGCTGAATTAAGATTAGTGCTTCACAACGCTGCCTGACAAAGTGACTAATTGCCGGCTGCTGGCAGAGGACAGACTTCCCCTCTCTAAGGTCCCCAACACTGCTACCTAGTTCCATTTTACAGAGGCCAAATGTCAAAGTTTAAGGTAGGTGGACTGTGTTTGTTCACCTGCGAGTAGTTTGACCTTAGACTTCACAGAGCACTGTCAGGAAATCGGTTTTTCCATGCTCTTTACAGTAAACAAAGACAGTGTGGCCGGGCTCCAAATGTTACAGAAGGTCACCGACCAAACTGCCTCCCAGACAAAGACTGCTTCCAGAAATTGAAACACAAAATAGATGTAAGCACCATCAACATTCCAAACTGTGCTCCTGTTCATTCTCAGTGTTTGCCTCAAACAATGTCACAAGTATCCAGCATAGATGCATAATAGAAAGGGAATCATAAAACCCCAGGTGCTGGAAAGTGCCTTAAAGGTCATCTGGTGCACCCGCAAATCTAAATTGTGAATAGTGCCCTTTAAATATCTCCTCCCTGTAATCACCCAAGCTTGGAGGGAACCCCTCCAGTGACTGAAAACCACAATGCCCTGGCAGAGAGATGAGCTCTTTTGTCTTTTGAACACAGTAATAGAGTATTTAAAAGCACTAAGCCAGAAGGCCCAGTTCCACAGTAAAGGGAGCTCTGCACCTTCTGTCTATAGAGAGATTAACTAAGAGGGAAAGATCAGCCCTTAGTGTAGGAAGCGCCATCCCTTAGGCTGGGGACCAGATGGA